ATTAAGTGTAAAAAATGATAAATTAAATGTGTTCCAAAAAATATTAAATGTGGTCTCTATTTGTAGAGAATGAAAAATTATGAATTTTGGTATTTTTATTTTTATTTTTTTATACAAAATATGAATGATAATTTAATTTATATAATATGAGATATGAATTTCATTACCAATAGAAATAGGACACATGTCATATTTAAAAAAAAAAAAACAGAAAAATGTCTTACCTCTTTTGACCGCTCTTTTAATCCAACAGTCATTTACTACATGTCCTTTCATCTACCATTTTTTACCATGACCGTCGAATCCGACCACGATCTAAGGGTTGGGGTCGATCGACCCCTTTACTTTCACCTTTCACTGCCCATAAAAGCGACCCTTAGCCGCATTTTTTATCTTCTTGTTTGTACTGACTTAAACATCGAAGGCTCGACGCGGTGACATCTCCCGTCGTTGGGTTCTTGCAGGTCTCACGAGGCGGTTCAGGCGGATCGAAGTTCTTCTCAACCGGTTTTACCAAGTTCCAGGTAGAGCCCCATAAGCCGGTTTGGTGGTTGGAGACTAACCATGGTCATGTCTTAGTATGAACAAGTACTGCATCATCTTAATTGCGCAATAAAATCTTAATTTGACAATATAGGTTTAGGGCTGGCTGTCCTAATTTTCAACTGGTTGAACTCAAAAGTCCAGGCCTTCACCATCAGCGGTAGTTAGGCAGCCTTACCATGGTCATTTGCATCATTCATAGTTGCAATTAGCCATAAGTAATAATCCATTATACCAGTTTCGATATGGAGCCATCGGATGGTTCGACTTATGAAGTCATCCATACTTATACACCAATAGTGTATTGACACGTGTCCTACAATAAATACAAATTGTACATGTGTCATCACATTAAATGGTGGATGACTCCATAATAAAACAATCCGATGGCTCCATAGAATTTTTGTCCATTTATACATGTTGCTAGATAACAAAAAAAGGTCAACTTTGATTATCACATGAAAAGCTCTTTTGTACACAATCAAATAATTATATGAACAATTTATTGGATAAACTGGAAAAAGGATTATTATATTTTGTTTGATAATTACACGAACATATATAATTGGATAGCTGGAAAAAGACTAGAGTGGTTGTACTACTATTCTTATACTAATCTTTCTTCGTTTGATAGACGATGAGTATCTTTTTTGAAATAAATATTGTCTTAAAATATTTATGTTACTCGTTGTAAAAAGTATATTTGTAAAAAGTAAATATAGATAAAAAATATTTTTGACAACAAAAATGATAATAATCTGATTTGATCCAACTTATCAACTTCAATTATCTTGATCATTACCACTACCAACAATTTTTATTAATAACTCTCATGTTGTTCCAATGGGTTAATAGTTTATATGATACAAAAAATCTGTTGTTAAGTCGAACCAACGGACATAATAGTACCCATCCTGGGTCGATCACCTGGATGATAGAGAGAGTACTCGTCCTAGGTTCTGTGGAAGGCGACCCCCAGAGTGTGTGCACATGATTACCGGTTAGGCGTCCGAGAGTTTGCAACAGTCAGTTTACTTTTGTATATGCTTATTTCATCATGTGTTATGAGATTTGATTATTATATAATGTCTCACTTTAAAAAGCAATATAAAATGTCATTCTAATGTTAGGTACACCTCGCGGCATGCTCGTATATACATGAAAATATGTACTCTTTTAAATGTTCTCTTTTAAATGTTGACATATGTCATTTTACTTAATTAAATAATAAAAAAAACATCTTATTTAATTACTAAAATGTTCTTACTTAAAATCTTTAAGAAATAAAGATTATAAACTATATCTTATATTATATAAAAGATGTTAATTATTCATATAGTACGCAGAAAATTCAGAAAAAAAAATAAAAACCTTAATAAGATGACACTTCAATTTGAAGGCTTGTATGACTCAAAATATCAAATTAATTATGATGCATTGTTGCCCATGAAAAAAAGGAACAAAATGAACGTATGCCCGTCAAATTTGGATAACTGAGTCCTTCAAAATCACCGGTGATTTATTCATCTCTCCGTCGCGTGCTGCTGAAAATTGGTAACTTTGGCATAGTTTTTCGAGTATTGAAAGGTCGGATCGAGGATCGACAAATACTGTTGGATTCCTTATGAAAAAACCATTATATATAATATATATATCATATAATGAAATTAAACATGTCATTAGAAAGATTGAGTTTAGAACTTCGACATGATATAGGATTTGTTGAAATACATCACCAATAAGCGGGAAAGGAACATCGCTAACGGTAGGCGGCGCCGGAAAAGTCGGATCTTCAATTCTAACATGTTTTAAATTTAATAGCCTATATTTGAGTAATTATTTTTATTTTTATGTACATGATCACAAAATTAAATATAATTTTCTTTTTTATGATTAAAATAAACTATAATTAAACTTAAAGTAAAGGTGCAATAGATGTTTCCCATGTACGAGCTGTACGAGTCAGTCAAAATATTTTTTTGTATGGTATATTAAATGTATTGTTGAGATTGAAGTTTTGATCAATCTAACCGTTAAATGAAATTATACATATTGTCATGTATATACGAGAGGCATCTGACGCTAGAAAGTCTCATGTAAATATGAATGACATTAGATTAACTGTATAAGTATGTATTTTTGCTGACATAGTACGACAGATCGATTCGCCTAACCATTAAACGTATGACATTAGATTGTATAAGTATGTATTTTGTTGGCATGTTATGAAAGATCGACTCGTCTATCCATTAAATTGATGCATACAAAACTTTATATATACAATATAAATATATATTTTTGTTAAAAAATATGAACAAATTAGATTTCGTCTACTTGGAATGTGTTGGTAAATAAACTTCGTATAGTAGAAAGTTTTTTTTAATTAATTTGAACTTATCTCAATAACTTCATTAGATACTTTTTTAGATAAACCATTAGAAATTTTATTTCTAACTACTATATAAACTAATTTTATCGAACACGTTTATGGAAAATGCTACAGTCCCGTTAATGAACCACTCCGTCAAGATTTGTAACCGTTAAATCATGATGTAACTGTCTTGGATAGTTGATCTAACAAGACAGAATAGTTCGGTAGATTCTCCCCACATTTATTTTGAGTCAGCATGTGCTAGCTTGTCAAATATTTATCAAACATACCCGTTTGTATGAATGTATGAACCGTTGAGGTCATCTTTCCCCTTAAACCCAGCTGTTACTGAATCATCTTCAACCACAGAGGTAGAGAGAGAAAGAGAAAGAGAAAGCTATTTAATTAGCATTAGTCAACTCTCGAGCAGCAGCCATTTATTCCATGAATTCGATTTAATCCCCACGAGCAACACCTCCACCACATAATCGATAAATACTCGCAAATCCCACCAAACTCCGATGTGTATCTGATTCGCCGGCTGAACCTCTCCGACCATGGGCTGGGGGAATGTGTTCTTCACGGCAATCGTCACTTTCTCGGCGGCGCTCATCACCTACAACATCATCATCTCGGCCAACGCCTCCCTCCAACAGGGCTTTCCCGGCCATTCCTCCTCCTCCTCCTCCGTCAAATCGGGCTCGTCCTCCTCGGCGGACCCCGTCATCCGGCTGCCCAGATCCTCCGGCGGGAAGAGGAGGCGCTTCCACACCGCTGTCACGGCCTCCGACTCGATCTACAACACGTGGCAATGCCGGGTGATGTACTACTGGTTCAAGAAGCAGAAAGCCATGAATCCAGATTCCGAGATGGGGGGATTTACTAGGGTTTTGCACTCCGGGCAGCCGGACCGGTTCATGGACGAGATCCCCACCTTCGTTGCCCAGCCCCTGCCCGATGGGATGGATCAGGTCCTCCTTTTTAATTTATCAAGAAATTAAAAAAAAAAAAAAATCTTCTCTTTTCATTTTTTATATCTTTGATTATTGATTACAGTCTGTATTAGTTCCATGTTCAATTGCTTATCATACATCTTTGTTCTTATTCCAGGGGTACATAGTCCTGAACAGACCTTGGGCCTTTGTGCAGTGGCTTCAGCAAGCAGAGATTGAGGAAGAGTAAGAGAAAAAGAGGGAAAAAAAAATGAGTTTCTCCTTGCCTTTTGATATATATTGATGAAATTACTTATATTGTGTTTATAATCCTCTGTAGCTACATATTCATGTCTGAGCCAGACCACATTCTGGTCAAGCCCATACCGAACTTATCGAGAGATGACATGGGAGCTGCATTCCATTTCTTCTACATCGAGCCCAAGAAATACGAGAATGTGCTGCGGAAATTCTTCCCCGAGGAAAATGGACCAATAACTAAAATTGATCCCATTGGGAATTCCCCTGTAATTGTACGAAAGGTATATCAATTACTGATTGCGAAGCTGTCTGGTGTTGTCGTTTTTTCTATTCTTGCATTCTTGCTAGTGTCCATTGCTGGTTAACATTTTTTTTACCAAATAATATTAGGATGCTCTGAAAAAGATAGCTCCCACTTGGATGAACGTGTCCTTGGCTATGAAGAAGGATACCGAGACAGATAAAGCTTTCGGATGGGTTCTTGAGATGTGAGCGACCTCTGAGATTCATGGTTGCATGCTCTTGGTGTTTTTAGTCTCCGACTTAGATTTTTCGTGTTGCTATTGTAGGTATGGATATGCAGTTGCATCGGCCTTACATGGTGTGAGTAACATTTTGTACAAGGATTTCATGATTCAGGTAGGGGTAAATTTTCTATTAGCAATGTTGAATATCTCATGATGCCAATCTGTTATAATTAGATAAACTAACGTATTTGTAGTACATGTGGTTATTTCCTATTGATGGTTATGTAACTATGTCATCTCTAAATCTCTATGCTTCACTTATATCGGGCTTGAGAGCTGCTAGTCTTATCATGGAGGGCCTAATAGTAGTTATCTTGACAAATTTCTACAGCCTCCTTGGGACACCACAACCAGCAAGACCTACATAATTCATTATACTTATGGATGTGACTATGATTTGCAGGTATTATATATTTATATGAATTTTTAATAATCTTTGGTCCTTCGTTACTTTATGATTATTATTGTAATTTTTTAGACTAATTTTCTTTTGGGTCCTTGGGAAATTATGAGTACGAAAATGAGCACTTTTTTGACTTGTTTGGACTGGAATTTTATTTATGTTTGTCGTGCCTTTCTTCAGGGTAAGATGACTTATGGAAAGATTGGAGAGTGGAGATTTGACAAAAGATCATATGATAATATCTGGCCTCCAAAAAATCTTTCTTTACCGCCTCCTGGTGTTCCGGAAAGTGTGGTATGTTTTTATATCCTTAATCCTATTTAGGGTGCCTTTATATTCTTAGCTTTTTACATAGTGGACTACTGTTTTGGGGTTATCAGTAAAGAAACCGTAAATTTGAGTAAAACACATATACTTTGTTAAACTGCTACAGTGAAGAATTTTTCTGAGGTTCAATACAACCCGTAGCTTTGTAATGGCCTACAATTTGGAGATGGAGAATAAAATGACCCACATGAATTAGGATAATGCAATTGCTTGCACTGTGATTTTGTATAACTCTGTTCAAATAAGAGATTGTGGTTTTTCAGTCTCATAAATTTACACGGAGATATTTGGACATGACAGGTTACATTGGTGAAGATGGTGAATGAGGCCACTGCCAATATTCCAAACTGGGGTTCCTAAGCTTCTAGTCTCAGTGTTCCCTGCACACAGTTGTCACAGTTTTAACTCGCTTTTGTAGATTTTACCAACAAGGATAGGAACTCATTCCTTGCGAGAACCGAATGCGTGCTGCCATTGGTTTTTCAGCTCAAATTCTTCACTTGTTCAAGTTGTATTTAGAATTCTATTGGATAGTTATTTACTAAACATGTCAATGGCAGTGGTGATTTGGGACTTGTATATCATGAAGAGAAATAACATCATCCTCTACACTACAGAACTATCTTTTCTAGAGCTAAAGTTAATGTGTTGCTCCAGTAAAATGGAGATTATAGTTTATTTTCATTAATTTGTTTCGTTTTTATTCGTTTTTTGTACTATTACAATTCTTTGTTTGCTTCTTGTTCGTCCGGTGGATATCCTCCATGAAATCACACCTTACTATTATGATCCTTACTGTTAAAAGGAATCTATTTACGTTGTGAGTTGTGACTGCCTTTCTCCAAGGCACATTTTGCACATTCGAGCTGTGTTATATTTCCCTCGTTTGAATCCGAAGTAACATGTGACTTGCAGCTTTGTTTTCTCCAATTTTAATTCGTAATCACGAAGAAATATTGCAGCACATTAAGTCCAGCAGCATTAACTTACATATATATTGTCTTCTTCAAGAGCTGTTGGGTCTCGTCCGCCTCTGGCTTCGGCGTATGAGCCCACGCCTCAGTGTATTATTTTTTATAACAAAATTTCGGTGATGTTCCATCCATTGATAGAATATTATTATAACGATTTTAATAACAAAATCAAATATCGGTCTTGCTTATATGGAATCTTGAAGACATGAATGTACTGAATCATGGTGACAATGTCAATAAGAGCAACAAAGGCGACCAAAAATATAAATAAATAAAATGAGCAACAAGAAGAAATTAAATAAAGAAGAAAAGAGCAGCAATGACCATAAGGTAAGACTTAAGAGAAGCAAGCAGCAAAAGTATATAGTTGACATCAACATTACTGCAAACATCCAAAAAGTTCCCCATAAATGAGAAAAGAGAGATGTGCAAAAAAGAACTAACTCACTCCACTCCAATCTCAATTCTTGTCACCATAAATGAGAAAATTGAGATGTGAAAAAGAAGAACCAACTCGACTCCAATCTCAATTCTTGTCGGTCATCGTGCCCATCCAGGCCGGTGGCAGCATCCCTGTCTGCTCCTGCACAGTCTTGAACAACGGCGGCAGCATCTTGTAAACTCCGGCAACTTCCTTCATAGCATCACCGCCAGCCTCTCCCTGGCCATGGCCACCGTTGGTCCATATGCTGATCTTGGGCTGCAGCCCATTCACGGCCTGAGCATTGATCTTTGCCACCTCCTGAAACATGCCACCACTGATCATTAAGTAGTCCCTTAGGGCCGCATAGTCACCGCCCATTGCATCCAGAAGGGTGCGAATGTAAGTCCCCTGGGCCTCGGCCAGGGCCTTCAGCCCCTCAGCTTCTTTCAGCTTCGCGTAAAAGTCTCCATCCACTTTCTGCTTCCGCCCGAAAAAGGCTGCCTCGGCTGAGGCTTTCTGGGCCTCGGCTTCCTTCTCCTTTTCGTATAGGTATGCCTCGGCAGCCTTCTGCTTCTTGTACAGCTCCCAGTTGGCCTCTTGCACCTGGTTTTTTAGGATGGAAAACAGGATCATCAGGAAATGTTTCATATTCACAAAAGGAAGGGAATTGTTTTCAGCCTGATTATCTTGTTTGCGGGCTCAAGGTTGGATTATAACAGTTGAAAACAAACAAGGATCTCTTTGAATTCACATTGTTTAATTTGTTGGGTGCTGCAACACTGACTCAAATTGCTATACATATGTTTAGATAAATCAGAACTATGTATGCTACTACACCGATAAGATGGGGTTCTTCTTTTTCTCTTTTGACTATCAGACAAAGGCTCAAATTGTTCTACTTATGAAAGAAACGGCCTCTTAAATAAGAAAAACACCATAAGAGACTATGAATGAACAAACAAGTAACAAAAGAGGAAAAAGAACCTTGGTCTCGTACTCGACGCTGGCTTTGCTCAGAAACTCGGCCTTAAGCTTCTCGGTCCTTGTCAGCGCATTCATCCGCTCAACCTCCTTCTGCAGCTCTGCGTCCCTGAGTGCCACCGCCTTGTTGGCCTCGACCTCCGCCACATGCGCCTCTTTGGCCCAGCCAGCCTTCTTCTTGGCCAGCTCTGCATTGGCCTCGGCCACCTCCGCCTCTTTCAGGTTCTCAAACACCTTGACCGCCGTGCTGACCTTGATCTCCTCCTTCTTCCCATCTCCCTGCCGCTGCGTCGAAATAATCTTTGTTTCGGCGTCGATTTTGGCCGCGTTCTGCTGCGTCTGGCCGTCCCTCAGCTTGGATCCGATTTCCCCCTTCATCTTGGCCTCCGCAACGTCCACCCTGGCTTGATTCGCCGCCTCCATCTGCGTCTTCTGCCCTAGGTACGAGAAATACTCGTGGCCGGGGACGTCGACGAGCTGCTTGACGTTGGCGTTGTAGATCCAGAGCCCGAACTGGTTGAGCTCGAGCTGGACCTTGCCGAAGACCTCCTTCTTGAACTCCTTGGTGCCCCTGAAGATCTCCTCCATGGTCATGGAGGCGGCAAGGACGCGGGTCTCCCCTTCGATTACGCCCTGGACGAGCTCGTGGAGGTGCCTGGAGTTCTTATCGTGGGCGGCGATGAGCCTGGCGTACTTGAGGAGGCTGGGGGGGTCGTCGGCGTGGGGGCCGATGGTGAAGACGGCGGGGAGGACGAAGGGGAGCTTCTCGGCGCTCATGGCCTGGACCTCGAAGGTGTAGTTGACGGGGGAGAGGTCGAACCTGGAGCAGGATTGGCCGGGGAGGATCCATGCCTTCTTGGCGAGCTTGATGTCTGGGATTCCGATGCCGGTGATCACCAGGTACTCCGACGCGTTTGCGACTCTGTACATGTTTGCCGGCGTGTTTGTTTGTTTCTACTGTGCCTGCGCTAGTTTGCTTTGCTTTGTACTATATTACTATACGCCTAGTATTATATATATATATATAGTTTTAGGGGGAAGACTGTATAGAGATATATTATGATAGGGACTGCATAGAGATAAGAATTTTATTTTTCCTATAATTAAACAGATTGTAATTGTTTGGTCATTCTTTTACGTTTTGCAATTTCTGGGTAGTTTACATATAATATTCCTTTGTTGAGTTGAAATTTTCTTATTATTGGAGTTCTCTCGCATTTTTTTTTTTTTTT